GGGCAGCTCCGAGCCGGGGATCGTCGCGGTTGCCTCGTAGGATCTGCCCCTGGGAGGGGCAGTGAGCTTCACCGCGTTTTTACGACGTAACGGCGAGGGATTCTAGTCCACTCAGTGTCCAGTCATCTTATTCGTGCGAGTACGCAGCTACCGGGGATCCAGCCATAACTCCGTTCGCTCTGGGGCGCGTCTAGGCCTCACGACGGTAACGGCGACCATTGAGTGCGACCGAGCTCCGCCCAAGTGCTGACGGCGATGCTAGGGTGATGCTAAATGCTTGAAGCCTACAGGATGGAAGTGCGAGAGCGAGCCTGAGGCTCGGAGACATGTTGAAGTGACACGTTACACTGTTGGGGCCGTTGGTATAAAGCCGGCCGCTCTGGCCGTTGAAGATAATATTCTCCTGCTTCAATACCACCACCAACCTCACCTACCACATACCAATCAACCCCACAAACCATCGACATGGCCTCCAACAACAAGCCCTTCCACGAACAGCCACACCTGCACACCAGGGCAGAGCACCGTGCCGCTGTCTTGACGTACCCGGGCAACTTCCGCGAGGCCCTTCGCCAGGGCCAGGCCGATCCCAAGAAGACCCTGTTCGGTGTTGCACACGGCATTGCCAGCGTTGCCGTCACAAAGGTAACGACAACAATGTCAAGATAGGCCAAGTATCCCATGCTAATGTGGCATTGTCCAGGTCCTCGCCTCAGCCAAGCCCGATTTCATCTGGATCGACTACGAGCACGCCGTGTTCGACCGGTCGTCTCTCTATGAGTAAGACGCGACCTCAAAACTTCACAATGAAACGAACGCTAACCTCCCACCAGCGCCATTCAAGCTGCGCAGCATCACTCGGAGGGCAAGTCCCTGGTGGTCGTCCGCGTCGCCAAGGGCGACCCCGTCGGCCTGGCCACAGCCCTGGACGCCGGCGCCTCCGCCATCGTCATGCCGCACACTGAAACTGCCGAGGAAGTGAGAGAGATGATCAAGGAGGTCTACTACCGTGAGTTCCCATCAACCAATCTTACCTATCCACAACGACCTAACACCGGACAGCCCCCCTGGGTCAGCGCTCCTTCAGCCCGTGGACCTTCACCCCCGGCATCTCGAACCAGTCCATCTACGAAGACGACGACTGGAACATGAAGAACTCCAACAACCACGTGTGCCTCATCCCTCAGATTGAGAGCGTCAAGGGCTTGAAGAACCTCGACGAGATCGCCAGCGTTGAGGGCGTCGCGGGCCTCATGTTCGGCCCCGGCGATTACAGTGCCGACGCGGGTATCAAGCTGCAACTGGGCGGTGTGCCTCCTCCGGCCTTCCTTGAGGCCATGGGCAAGTTCGTTGAGGGTGCTAAGAAGCACAATCTGCCGCTGTTCGGGTAAGTCAGAAGTTGTGCCACAGGTGAACTTTCGCTGACAGATTATTGCAGCGCCGCCCAGGCTCCGGCCATGGTGCCCATGATGATCCAGCAGGGCTACGTTGGTATTGCCGTTGCGTTTGACTACTGGGGTCTCGCGGGACTTGTCGCCGATGGACTAAAGGGTGCCAGGGCGATGGTTGATGTGAAGCCGGAGGATGCGGAGGGCGAGAAGGCGTCCAACGGCACGGTGCCGGTCACCAACGGGTCCAACGGAGCGACTGAGGCCAATGGTTCTTCTTAGACAGCGAGATGTTTGCGAGCGATTTGCGTCTTTAGAGATATAGAAGAGCATGATTTATACACGACTTAGTTTCTACACGCTTGCATGAGACGCAAGCGGAGACACGTGGCGGTAGGTCAGCACGAGCCCAGACTCTGCCTCCCTCCCCCGAATCTGTCCTGGGATCAGCAAGCTGGGTGGCATCGGGCATCACACAACTCCACATCTTAGGTAGTCTTTGAAGGCCTGCCTTGGAAATTGGCTAACAGGTGCAGCTGCCACGTGAGCTGGAGATCACTCGGAAGATCAGGGAGGCTAGCAACTTGACTTCTCCCCTGTCGACATGTCAGCTCGCCCCAGACGGGCCAGACCCTCGGGTCATGATGACCACCTGCATCAACCCGACTCCTGACATTGACAGGCCTTGGTCGTCAACTTTGGCACCTTGAATTGTATGGCCTCCCAGTCCCCCGAAGACCTCCCTTTCTGGGTCCCAGAGCTTGCCCAGCCGGCAATGGCCTCTCTCCGCCAAGTTCGCCAATGCTACCTACCGAGGAGATGCCCTCATTTGCCGGGCCAGGCACACGAATCATGCGGCAGCCAATTCAAGCACCGCCCTGGCCCCCACCACCCACACCAGTTCATCTCTAAAATCAGCCAACTTCGCCGTTGAGCGCTCCAACAAGAACGCCACCGGGCTCCCCCCCTCCCCTCCCCCATATTTGCGGGGAAAGAAACATCAAACGGTCCTGCCGACCACCGGATGTTACAAGTTGGCCGCGAGAAAGACCCGCGAACTCTCCCAAGTTTCCCCTCGGGGAACAGAGCAAACGCGGGGTCAACCTGGCAAACCCCCGGCTTCGGACGCCGTCGGGGGCATCGTCGTCTTGGCCCTCGCTCAAGGCCCACGATGGGCAGCAACACCTGCTTCTCATAGCCTAGCTCGTGCAAGCTAAAAGCATTGCTGCGAGCAAGGGGAGCCTTTCGGCGGAATGGCCCCTCGGGGATTGTGACCCTGGCCGGAGAACAAGCATAACCTCGGCCGGCGTGACCATGTCCTGGGGTCCCCCTCCCAGTGACCCTATCACGGCCTCGGCCGCTGGAGAAATCCTGGAGACGGCTACCCCACGGGGGGGATTTTAAGGTACGGTACAACGTTGTGAGGGGGCGGGAGGCCGGAGATTGCTGAAGATTGGGGTTAGCACGGGCTCTCGTTCGGGGTCGAATGCCCCGAGCGGAACTACCACCCGACGTCATGCCCGGGATAGACGATGTTGACGGGGCAAGGTCTGGGGATGTTCGTCTCCCCTTCGTCAAACTATTTAACCATGCCGTGACCATCCTCTGCCTTTGCCCTGGGTCTCGGCACGGCCTCAGCTTCTCCCGCAGTAGCCTTCACCTCCTCCCTCCCTCTTCCCTCCCCAGCGTCCTCCTCCCACCTCCGAGATGAAGTTCGCAGGCCTCAAGGCCCTCGGCGTGGCCCTCCTCGCGGCCACGTCGGCTTCGGCCGCAGCCCTCGCCCCACGCGCCGACGACGACGCCCCTCGCGACCTCGAGTCCCTCTCGATCCTCACAAAGGCCGCCGACTCCCTCGTCGCTCCCGCCCTCGCCAACAAGAACGCCGCCCTCAGCGGCTCTCCCCGCAGCCTGACGCGCCTCGTCCGCCAGGTCGTCGTCCCTTTCGTCTGGCCCAACTCGACCTACTACCACGACGAGACTCTGCTGCCGCACATTGAGGAGATGCTCGAGGTGCTCACGCGCCGCCAGCACTGCGATGGCACTTACAGCGTCGGCAACCGCCACTCGCCTCCCGACACGGGCTTCCTCATTGAGGACTTTGGTATCATGGTCCGTATCCTCGAGCGCGACGGCCACGAGGCCTCGCAGGCCATTGCCGATACCATCCGCGATATCCTCGGCAAGGCCGGCCCTGGCCTCGCCGCAGGAGGCATCCACACCCCCAACCACCGCTGGAAGATCTGCGGCGCCCTGGCACGCATCTCCCGCATCACCGGCGACGAGTCCCTGCTGGACCGCGTCGACGAGTGGCTCGCCGAGGGAATCGACATCGACTCCGACGGCATCTACTCGGAGCGCAGCCCCAACTACTACTCCGCCGTCTCAAACCCCTCCCTCCTGACCGTCGCCCACGAGCTCAACCACACCGAGCTCATCGACCACGTCCGCAAGAACCTTGAGCTGACCATTGAGCACGCCGAGCCCAACGGCGAGGTCGAAACGGTCATGTCCCGTCGGCAGGACCAGACCCAGGCCCAGCCCGACAACATCCAGGCCTTCTACGTGCAGTTCCGCGAGCTCGCCCTGCGCGACAAGAACGGTCGCTTCGCCGCCATGGCCCGCCTCCTCGAGGAAAGATATGGCTCCCGTCTGGGCGACTACCTCGCCCCCCTCATCGAGCGCCCTGAGCTCGCCGCCCTCCTACCCGAGCCCGAGACCCCCTGGGCCGACTACGAGAAGCACTACAAGAACGTCGGCCTGTTCCGCGCCCGCCGCGGCAAGCTGACCACTGCTGCCTTCGGCGGCTCCGACTGGTACTCCAACGGCGAGCAGACGGCCTTCTACAACCGCTTCGCCTCTGGCCTGTCGACCAACCCGACCCTCTTCCGCGCGTGGAACGGCAAGCTGGCGCTGGATGGCGTCCGCCTGGTCCCGCAGTTCTTCACAATGGGCCACTTCCGCTCCAACGGCCTGTCCGTCTCCGATGGCGGCGTCGTCACCCTCGGCAGCGAGATGGAGGTCCCCTACTACCTTCCCATGCCTGCCGACCAGCGCGACGCCAACGGCGAGTACGCCCTGGGCCGTTCCGTCGCCGATGGCCGCTTCTACGCTGCCCTGGACTTTGCGAACAGGCCCACGAGCATGCGCCGCCTCAAGACGGATGTGGTCATCAGCCCGACTGACAAGGGCTACGACCTGGCGTTCGAAGTAACGGGCGAGCGCGACGTTGAGGTGACCATTGAGCTGACCTTCCGTGAGGGAGGTGCGTTCGGCGGCGCGATGAAGCAGCTGACGGATACCAACGGCGTCAAGACGTTCCACCTTGTTGAGGGCGAGGGTTCCTACAGCCTGGGCGACGATACCATCACCTTTGGCCCTGGCAACGGCGAGGGTCTTGTGTCAGCTGATGCTGGTGAGCAGTACAGCTGGCACGCGGGTTCCCTGGTCCTCCGCGGCCACAAGGTGTTCATCACCGGCGTCGCGCCCTTCCAGTACACCCTCAACCTTGGGTTCTCGTAAGCAGATAAGCTGTAGATGACGAATAATGGAATAATGAGAGACACGCCTGTGCTGAGGAGTACAAAAAAGTAAAAAGGAAGCTGTGATGATTGAAGGTCCGTGCCGGGATTGAACCGGCGACATTCAGGAGGGAAGAGGTAGGGGATCCTCAAAACCTGACGTCATAACCGCTAGACCAACGGACCTGAGTCATCAACTGTGCGTCAGTCGCGATTTCGCGGACATTATATTCTTTTAGGCTCTTTTGCTTCGGGAGCTCGACGATGCTTCAGCTCCCCGCCGCCCCCACGGCATCGTCATTGTGGCGCGGCCTGTCCTGCCTCACTGTGGCGCCATTTCTTCCCTGGCAGGACGTTGCGAATTATCGTCCCTCGCCCCAAACGGCCGTCACACGAGGGCGCCACTGAGGACTCGGGGGCTGGACAAACCGAAAGCGCCTCGACTAGAAAGTCGGGGTGGTCCGGATTGCAGCGGCTCCCTCCCTCTTCAGACGTCATTGCCTCTTCTCAATGGTTTCATCGTGAGCCGCCATGGTCCGCGGCAGACTGGCCCATCGTCAGCCCCAGGCAGCCTGCACACAAAAGTGCAGATGAGGCTATCAGACCAACTGGAGTATGGCTATTAAGATGAAGCCCTCTGCCTCCGTGCTACGGGCGAGGTCTTCGATCCTCAGACTCGCCAGCGCCAGCGACACATCACGACATGGCCGATACCTTGCAAATCCCGGGTGGGAAACCTCACGATGCCATCGAACTCGACTCAATCGTTCGCTCCGACACCGAACTTCCCAGCGATGGAGAGACTCCCCCCCTCAAACTTCCCAGCCAGCCTGGTCTAGTGCCGGTCGCCGACAAAGACCTGAAAGACCTCCCACCCGTAACGTTCCGACCCCTCGTTCTCCGCGACTGGATGCTGGCGCTCTGCTTCGTCTTCCACCTCATCTGCATCGCCCTCGTCGCCACCGCCCTCTCCGTCTCGTACTGGGACGTCGGGGGTCTCTGGACCTACGTCTTCATCGTCGCTCTCCCCTACGTTCTCGGCACGACGTCGGCCATTTGGGTGGAGAGTATCACCAGCAACCTCTCCAGGATCACGCCCTTCCTCCTCTGCGCCGACGACGATGGCGCCCTAGCCTCGCGCAGCATCTTCCAGCAGTGCTTCCCTGTCCCCAGCATGTGGGACGCCTGGAGGAGTGACTGCTATTTCCTCTTCGCTTCTCACATCATCTGGTGGCTCACCATCTTCCTCGTGCCGCTCAAGGCCTCCCTCTTGGCTGCAGACCAGGAGACTCTTGAATTTTGGATCACCGACTGGGCAGCGTATACACTCTTGGGCGTCCATTCGCTCGTTTGCATTTACATCGTCCTGGTCTTCTTCTATCTGTGTGATCGCAAAACGGGCCTCCGGGAGGAATGGGACATTGTCACCATGGCCGACCATATGGTTTTGTTTCGACACTCCAACTTCCGTCACTCCTTTGCCGGCACTGGAGGTGCTGAGAGGTTCTCGATGATGGGTGGGAAGGACAGTTTCCTGGCCGGCCTCAGGATCAAACTCGGGTACTGGAAACGAACAGATACCGACAAGGTGTGGTATGGTTTTGGTATCGTAATAGGTAAGTGCCCTCGAAGAAGGGATTGAGGTCGTTCGACTAACGCATATACCCAGATGAAGAAACCGCCGGGCTACTCGAAAGGCCCCAGATAGTCCAGAAGGATCCAACATGTGAGTCTTCCTCCAACCAATTGACACAAAAGGGCCGATCGCTGACCACCTCCTCAGTCTCCAGGCAAGACCTCAACCGAATCTCCAACAACTCGGTCTACTCCTTCGTCGACCCCCGATCATTCTTTTGCAACTTCACCTTCTGTCTGGCCCTCGTCCTGGCAGGCGCATACATCACCGCCCTAGCCATGGGCTCAACGCGCAACAACGAATTCACCGTACCCATGTCGACAGGTTGGGCAGCCGTGGTCTTCGTCCTCATCCCGGTCTTCCTGCTCGGCACGTTCCTCACCTTCTGGAGCGACGCGCAGCTCTTCGCGGCCGTCACGCAGCCGTTCGTCGGCATGCGCGAGTCCGGCGGCCGGCCGGCCCAGGACACCATATTGCTCGACTACGTCTGCCTCTCCAACGTTGAACAATTCCTGGCGGCGGCGAAGAGGGGGCATTGGAAGGTGGCGCTGACCACTGTGGCAAGGTCGCTTCATCGTCTGTTGCCGAACCTCGCGGGCCCTAGTCTGATGGTTGGCTGGGACGAGGAAAGGCCTGAAGTGTCGGTCATCACGCTGAACGCCACTCTCGTGGCTGTCGTGAGCGCCTGGCTGGTCTTGGAGCTTTTTCTCGTCCCCTGGGCTTCTCTGACGGGAGTCAGAACGCGGCGACTCCCTCGGGACTACCTCTGCATCGCGGATCTCTTGTCATGGACGTGTACGAGCGAGGTGCTCGCCGCGCAGGGACCTGACGATCTTTTCGGAAATGCCCTCCATGTCGATGTTGAGCCTCATCCTGTCGAGGGCCAGAGCCAGAAGGAGGACATGGAGGCTCGACTGCGGCTGTCGAGGAAGCACTTTCGCTTCGGAGTCGTGCCGACGGAGGGCAGCATGGAGAAGTATATGATCGGCATCGGATTTGGGGATTCCAAAGGCGATGAGGGTGCCGCGGAGGAGCGGCTGTTGCTGCTTGGGGCTGAGGGGTATGTCATGGCAGCGGGTGCCGAGGGGACAGTCGCCGAATCGGTGGCTGTGAACGGAGTTCGATCACAGAAGGCACCGGAGGATGAGCGGCCCGTGGATGAGGGAGATGGAGAGGCTGATGGAGGTGTTTGATCTTAGTGTTCGGTAGACAGGTAGCGCAAGGGGCATGATTGTGATTTGGAGGATTCGGGCTATTTTTCATTTGTTTACCTGTATTCAGACGATAGACAGATAGATTGATACCCAGATATAGACGTACAATAGCAAAGATGCGACGTGGAGCGACTCCTTACCGTGTACAGAGTGATGACAGTAAGTGAGGGTTGTTGTGAATCTGATCAGGTTGGAGTTGGCGATACTCATCCTCCGACACCTGGAATAGGCTCTATTCAAGGGATTGGATGTCATATGAGCAAATACCCATCGGTAAATGGCCCTCGATGCATAATTCAACGTTGAATTCAGCTCTGGATCTACGGTATCTTCCCGGAAGAGAGGAGCCTCCCACCATTGACCTGCACTAACATGCTTGGCACACATCCGCACCATCTCACGATAGCCTCAGTCTCCCTCCACTACCCACCACCTCTCCTCAGTTGACAACCCGAATGCAACCTCCGTCGGATGTATCGTCACCCCTCCCATACCTTATCTTCCAATCTCAAAACAACTCCCATCCATCCGCCTCCTTATACCCGACGGATGTCCCCCTCAACACCCACAACCGGCCCGGCGGTGCCGACCCGGTATTATAAACCGCCAACCCCTGTCACCAGCCGCCGCCCCTATTCTCGGAAAGCTGCCAGTGCCGCAATCGATGCCGCACCCAGTCGATGGCGTCTTCGATCTGTTGCTAGTGATCGGCGGCAAATCCCTCAAAAAATGGCCCAGGCCGGCCCACCCGTCGCGCACATGGCTGGACCCCTGGCAAGCATTTTTCCTCTTTCTTAGCCGTCGGCCGCTGGACCTTCCCGTTGACGTGCTCCGAGTCGGTACGTAAACGCCCCCCCTTCAGAAGTGATGACTCTGCGACTCTTCTCCCAGCAACAAGCTAGCTGTGCTCTCCCGACCCCCCTGCCGTGCCATATCGTATCGATCTTGATAAGGAAGCCGATGGCAGGCGCAGACCCGCGATGGTGGTATGAAATCCATGGGATATTAGACCCTAACCTACCCCTCCGCCGGTTTGCCCCTCCCCCCTCCGTGATGCCCTCCCCGAAAACACCATCACCAGGCGCAAACTCGAACCTGAACCTGAACCCGACAAACTCTGCTTCCTCTTCTCCTCCCTAATCTTCACCCTTCTCGCCATGCCCCCCGTCGCCCGCGCCGCGGCGCCCCTCGCCCAGGTGATCCCCCCCCTCATCCTCGGCACCGCAACCTTCAACACGCAATACCACCCCTCCCCCGACCTGAACCTCTCCCTCCCCATCCTCGCCCGCGCCCTCGACCTCGGCGTCGCCGCCCTCGACACATCCCCCTACTACGGCCCCTCGGAGCGCATCCTCGGCGCCGCCCTCCGCGCCCTCGCCCCCGAGCGCGCCTCCCTCTTCCTTATCACAAAGGCCGGCCGCGTCGGCCCCTCCTCCTTCGACTACTCCCCCGCCCACGTCGAGCATTCCGTCCGCCGCTCCCTCGCCCGCCTTTCAACCCCCTACCTCGACCTCGTCCACTGCCACGATGTAGAGTTCGTCTCTCCCAGTGAAGTCCTCGCCGCCATTCGCGAGCTCCGCCGCCTCCGCGACCGCGAGGGTCTGCTCCGCTACGTCGGCATATCGGGGTACCCGCTCCCCGTCCTCGCTGACCTGGCCGAGCTCATCCTCGCCGAAACGGGAGAGCCCATCGACGCCGTCCAGTCCTACTCGCACTTTTGCGTCCAGAACGATGCCCTCGGCGCATCCGACCTCCTCGACCGCTTCCGCCGCGCGGGCGTCTCCGTCGTCACAAACGCCAGCATGCTGAGCATGGGCCTCCTCACCACCCGCGGCGTCGATGCCGGGCCCCAGGCGTCCTGGCACCCAGCCCCCCGGCCCCTGCGGAGGAAATGCACCGAGATCGGAGCATTCGCGCGTGACAACGGCGAGAAGCTTGAGGACCTGTCCCTGCGCTGGGCAATGGGCGCCTGGGCTTCTCGTGGCGCATCACTCGGTACCAGCGCAACCATGGACGTTCGCGCATCCCGCGCCGCTGCCGAAGCCAACAATACCACAAGACCTAGGATGGGCGTCAGCGTCATGGGCGTCACAAACGCCGCGGAGCTGGACGAGACCTGGCGCGCCTGGAACGACGTCGCCAGGGTCGCCGAGATCCAGGCCAAGGGCGCAGATGTGGAGCTCGACGCGCAGGACCAAGCCATCGTCGATCGCGCAGAGAAGATCTGCCGCATCGTCGAGAACGACATGTGGCCTGCGCTGGGCGAATGGCGGAATCACAGCTGGGATAGTCCCCAGCCTGGCTTCGTCAACGAGCGGCGAGAGCTTGGCGTTCTG